GACCTTGAATCATATTGTTACTCATTGCAAGATTCACAGGTTCTGGCAAACAGCCAAGCTTATCATGTGTATCTTCCTTTTCACATACGGCTTCTATTCCCCCAAAATATATTTTTTTAATCAGATAGCAACTTAAACTAGTATAGAATACAATTATATATTCAACAAGACATCCGGTATTTTCTTTTCTATGTACAAATTCTAAGCTTGTGCTTGTTAAGCTGCAATAAACTTGTGTGTTCCAGTACCTTCAATATGATAGTGCCACAGTTGCATCCATCTTCCTGTTTTGGTATATTAGCATCCATCTTTGAGGCAACGACTCCCATAGAATATCTTGGACATTCAAGTTAAGAACTCTGTACCTCCAGAATGTTCTGCAAAACAAGTAAGATCACTCTATGGACCCAGAGAATAAGAATAGCTTCCTTTTTTACAACGAGAATGTGCCCTTCTTTATAGAACTAAATATTTATTTTGCTTCATCAAGCGATAGCACTGCTTTTGGCGGTGTCAAATGACTCCGTGACTTTGCGTTGCATGGTTTTTGATAATATAAATCATTGCCTAGATGAAAGAATGAAGAGAAGAACGGGGACATAAAATTGTATTGTATTGTATTGCTTCCCATTCAATTCATTGTTCTTAAGGAAATATTCTACAGTTAGAGAATTACCACTGGCGAGATTTAGAGCTGAGCATAAGTAATCTACTTTGGTTTAATTTTTAGGCATAGAATAATACTGAATTTGAGAATTGATGTCCAAAGGGGTAATTTAAGTTTTATATAGCGCAACCACTATTTCAATATACTTTTTTAGGCACCTACATGCCATGTGTTACTAACATGGCTGTCACTAGATAAGAAGGTGAAACACCTGTCCCATCCCTATCTTCCTGCTTTTTAATGGCTGATATTAATTCTTCTTCCTTTCAAAACCTTACCATTTAGAGTAAAGCCCTTGAAAAAAGGAATTAGTTGAAAGAAGGAATCTAGGATAACTAAAGACACACAAAATTTAGATAACACATCTTGGTTTCTTTGATCTAATTCTTCACTGTGAAAAGCATGTATGCCAGATTCATATTTGAGTTACATTATTGCAATTTGTCATGAGGCCTACCTTTTGTTCAAAAATGCGTGCACTCTTCTTGTTCAAAAAGTGATTATAACAAAGTTGTAAACAATGTACTCAGAATACAACACTTTCAACTAAATTGTAATAGGCCCAGCTAGAAGAAGTCTGAAAAGCATTTCTGAATATCCAAATTTTGTTGACTGCAGCAACAATTTTGCTCCACGTCGTCAATGTTTCGTGGGCATTTGACAAATCCAAAAACTTGAAAAAATTGTTGTACAACTTGGACCGCACTTGAATCAGTCAAGGAAACAATAAAACGTTATCAAACAATCGTTTTTATCTATGATACATGGCACCTTAAGAGACCCAACACAGTAGATTTTTACGAAAGAAGACACAAAGAACGTTATATCCAATGGAAGTTGTTTCAAAGGGTAGCAGAAAAGGTACACTATAACCGGCAGCATGTTATAAACGAGTACAGTATAAGCAGGGTACTTTCTTCATGTTACGTACGGACCTTGTTCCGGGACCAAGTACAACAGTACATTATTACTAAAAGTATGTTCTAACTGAGTACGTAATAACAAGGTGATATTTTAGTAGTGATCCCCATCAGTTTCCTGTGCATCATTGCTCTGACTTTTTAGCAATTCCAGTGCCTTGTCAAGACTTGTGATTGATTGATTTTGCAGTCTGTCATCTCATGGTTGGCTATGAAACCGATATTTGAACCAATCCAGGTTTTGTTGGAATCTTTCCAAATCGGTTTTTTTTAAAATTGCGATTCTGTTATGCTGTTTTCATGAAAAGAATCCTCTTGTTCAGCCATTTCGCTCATGGCACGTGTTACCATGAAAGTAGACTGAGCACTACAAATAAATTTTTCCATTGGTGATCATCAATGACCAGTGATGATCTCCGATGATTGGTGACATACCAAATCATATGTGCTTACATATCGCAAGTATCGCAGGGCCTTCATCTGTGATGATCACCGACATACAAAAACGAGGCTCTAGTTTATTTTCACTTCGATATTAATACCACAAGGGTTTGTGCAAATCGTAATCTGCCCAGGCCTTAGAAAGGGCCTGCTTGGTGTTCATTCAAATGGGTGAAAGGGTTTGATTGATGAGCGAAAGCAACTGAATGAAAAATATTTTGAAAAGCTTCTTCCCTTTGGTAGAGTATTTGGTAAGAAACCTGTTTGTTTTTCCACATATTTCCCCTGAAAAAAGAGTACTCTGCTCACAAACTTTAGAACCAAACTGCAAATATGCAAATTTTTTAAATTTAACACTGTTTGCAATCACATTCTGTTTATTGCCGCAATTTTAACACAATCAGGGGTGGGGGAATTGCCCCACCAAGCCCTATGACTTCCCCCACCACTGACGACCAAAATGCTCTTTTTACCCCCAAATGCCTTGGCCATTGTGGAACCATTTCAAAAGAATGTGCTGGTAATTATATCAACAAGGTGTTTTGGTGAAATGAGGCTGGCGCATTAACACTTAAAACATGATAAATAGTGAAAAATGGAATCCCTATTGTTTTTTTTAAAAGAGGATAAACTACTATGTAACCTTTTTAGTGTGCCCAGCAAAACGTATTATAGCTGGATTTTTCAACTTTGTCTAATCCCTGAAAGGTTCCATCGTTGCAGGAACCAAGATGCAGGAATAGATGCAGGAACCAAGGATGCCTTATAGATGCAGGAACCAAGGGCACGTCCCCTCCCCCAATTTCAAAAAATTCAGGTAAAATGCCTCTCTGCAGCTTACCAAGTTTTCCTTGCCAGCTTGCCAACTGCATAACAAAAAATTGTCCTTTAAAAACTTGGGTGCTATACGAGATGAGCAAAGAGAGTGGGGGTGACCTTTTGGGACCATGTTCTTGAATGTTTCTATGCTATCTGCTTCTACAAACACCAGGGGGCGATAGCAAATTGCCCTAGGGGCTTGAGGATAGGAGACCCCTCGAGTTTTCCAGTTTAAGAAAGCATTTAGTGAGAAATGTTGCCTAAAAATTGTACTACATTTTAAATAATTGCAAGAAAATGTCTCCAAAAAAGGTTCTGAAATTTATTTTTACCTTATCTAAAGGACATGGTCGCCACATTTTTTCTGCTCACTTTTTATGCAAAGGGCCCCCAATTCTCTCTGTTCCCCAATTCACCGTTTTCCTTATTCGCTCGGAGCGCAATGCATTCTGGTACTTGTAGTTAACAACAACACGGCAATCGGCGCGCTCTTCAAATCATTGCAAATATCGCTCAATCGCACTGTACGGCTGTTTACGATTTAAAAGATGGATAACCCTTCAATTACCAAAAAAACAAATACAGATACTTCTTCAAACAATCGCCCTAGTTTTTTTCAAAACTCTAGCCCGGGGCAACTCGTTGTATTACAGCAAGAAGAAGTACCAGAGGCTACCAGCAAAATGGCGGTACGGAGTGACGTTACCTTCGATGATAACTTCGTTGATCTCAGAGATGGAAGCTGGACCGTTGATTTGAAATGTATGCCTAGATTTACGGAAAGCCGTTTGAATGAGAAACTTATTGATAACGCAATGAACATGCCTGATCATATTGCACCGAATGCCTACAGAAACAAGCTCCAAGGCTACAAGTTGTGGAAAGAAGGGTACTTGAGCAAAGTGAGGGTCAAACCAGATGTTGAATATGGTTGCGTTACATTGTTTTTGGTAAAAGCATTTGTTTCTGCTTCAATGAAGAGCATTAAATACATAGTTTATGCACATTTAGACCAATCAACAGGAACAGTAGTTAAAGCAAAATGCAACTGTAAAGCTGGACAAGGTGGTTGTTGTAAACATGTTGCTGCACTCCTGTATACTCTTCTGGACTTTTCGAATTTGGGCCTGCCTTGCGTTCCAGAGGATTTGACCTGCACTCAGGTGCTTCAAAAATGGTGTGAGCCTGGAAGAAAACTTAATTCAACTGTTGCTGTCAAATTTGCAGACTTGAGCTTTGAGAAAGCTATGCCTGAAAAAGACAAGTCTTGCAAGCGTAAAAGGCCAGCAGTTTCAGGTAGCCGAACAGATTCCTGTGCAACCCCTCCATTTGCAAAGGTTGTTGCCAGTAGTAAAATTCAAAGTTTGTATGAATCTTTAGAGAAGGCTGGGAAAGCCAACTTACTAGCTCAAACTCTGAAAGGCAACGAGTTTAAACCTTGTGACTTTTTTGAACACTCTGGAAATCCAGCACAAGAATCAGCACCATCCAGCAATTTTATGGAAATGTCATATGATATTTTCAAAAACATGCATGCAGAGATGGATTCTAGTCTTTTTGCCAAGGCCACTTCAGCCAGTATAGCCCATAATGTTGGAGTCACTTTACAAGATATTAAAGTGATTGAAAAAGAAACAAGAAAACAGGCAAGCAGCCACCGCTGGTTCTTAGAAAGGTCAAAGCGACTGACATCATCCCTTTTTGGCAGAATCTTAAGAAGAAGGGAAAATGTGTTTCCAAAATCTATTCTTGATCAAATAGCTAAAAGGAGGGATGGAACTGGGCCAAATACAGCAGGGTTACAATGGGGCATTGAAAAGGAAAAGGTGGCTTTAGAAAGGTACAAAACAGAATTCTGCCACCAAGGTAATGTTGTTGAGTGCGGTCTGATGATCAATCCTAAATGGCCATGGCTTGGTGCAAGCCCTGATGGATTGATAATTCAAGATGGGATGCTTGTAGGCGGCATAGAGATTAAGTGCCCTTACACAAAAAGGAACTTAACTGTTCAAGATTCATGCCAAGATAAAAACTTTTTCATGGGAGATTCAGGATCTGGGCCAAATTTGAAAGAAAAGCATCATTATTATTATCAATGCCAAGGAATAATGAACATAATTGGCCTTTCATGGCTAGACATTATTGTTTATACTGACATAGATATATATGTGCAACGTTTAGAATGTGACTGTCATTTTTGGAAAACTGTAATGTTACCAAAGTTAGCAACATTTTTTGAAACATTTATGTTGATATAAATTAAAATATATGATATTTATGATGCGTTGAAGCCAAATGAAATCTGTTTTTACTGCTTTTAAATAACTGCTATGTCATTTTGGCATTGGTTAGAATGTCATGTCTTAATGGGAAAATTTACAAGTCAGGACAATTTTTTCATCTCCAAAATTCTCTGATCATGAAAAAAAACAAACAAACTGAATTTCTAGAGCTGAGCTGAAATCAAATTAGAGTTTAAATGGTGTAATGGCTATGTTTAAGGAAATGCTACAGTCATCAAATGCTACAGTTGTAGGTGGGGTAGGGGCAAAATTATTTTGTGACACAGGAGACAATTTCCTCTCACTTCCTAAATTGAAATGCAAAAAATTTAAAACCATTGCCCAAGTTAATTGATGAAAAGTGTATTTCCATTTAATTTAATGATAAAAGAAATTTCCTAAAAAACAGTGATACAAAGACAAAAAAAATTTTTCAATTGTATGAAATCACATTTATTTCTTAGCTATAAGTGGTGGTAAAAAGTTTGATAGATATGCACAAACCACCCATACTTTATCCAAATTAGCAGACATTGAAATTGGAAATATTGTTTTCAGTAACTTAAAAGTTTTTATTCGTCTAATGGCTCGCTCAACATGTACACGTAGGGAGGCAATTCTTCTGGTTTCTGTTTCTTCTTCTAATGTCAATGAAGCTTTTTCCTTGAGAAAAGGGGGTATATTCAGCCCTGTTTGTGGTGGAAGATCATCTTCTATGTTAAACCCTTTGTCAGCCATGATTGTATCACCTGCTTCCAAAAGGTTAAGGATACCACAATCCCTTGTGACTGCTTTGTCACTGCATCTGCCAGCATATAGGTGTGACACAAATGTTACTGCACCTGAAGGTGCAATACCAAGCAAGCCCTTTGCAGTATTGCAATGTTTGTAGTTAGAGTATGTTTCACTCTGTGACCTGAGTGAACTAGGCATTTCCATGAATATTTCAGTAGCATCCAATATCACACGTGTACTTGGGTACATTTCTTTGAATGCATTTGGCATTGTTTCATCAATAGTTGACCTTGATGCCCATATTGGCAGCTGTCTAAGCCTTGTATATAGGAAATCAATCCAGGTGATGAAGATCCTAGAAAAATGCCCAACAGAAATACCTGCCCTGTAAGCTATGTCTTTTTCTAAAAGTCCACACCGTAAACGTACAAGGACAAGAAACAACTCTTGCTCTAGTGCCAGTGTTCTCTTTGGTCCACGCTTTGGATTCTCAAGGCAAATTGTATCTGCATTTGTGTTTGACTTGTAGTATATAAGCTTCTCTGCTGCTGGCATTAGAAAATCAAAAAATATCAGAAATGTTTCATGATCTTGGAAACCAGTATAAAAATGAAATAGTTCAGTATCATCCTTTATATCATCAACATGAAATGATACTTGTTTAATCTTTGCTTTCATTGATTCATTCTCTTTTTTAGCCTGACCCAATATTTTTGTAAGAGATTCTATTTCATCTTTGTGCTGTCTTTCCCTTGCTTCCATTTGCTTCCTCAGAGCAGCAAGCTCATTTGCCTGGTTGTCAGAATTAACTGCCTCAGGTAAGTTCTCATCACCATTTGCAATTACTTCGACAAGTTTTTCCCGATCGAATCGTTCTTCCGTGAGGGCTCTGTTACGACATTTAAATGTTGCTCTTGGTTTTGGTATGCTGGGACGAGTTGCCTTTGGAACGATGAGCGGCACGTTGCTCATGTAAGTCTTTTTTCCACCAACGAAGTGTACCGAACAAACCCTGTGTCCATTCGTTGGTTTGAAGTCCTTGCGACTGATGAGGGATATCCATCTTTTCCTCAGGTCGATCTTCTCTTGCCGATTTCCAAACGGAAACTGGTAG